CGAGAGCAGTACGTGTGAAAAAGATCTTGGAGTCCTCATGGACAACAAGTTAAACATGAGCCAACAATGCAATGTGGCGGCAAAATAAGCCAATGGGATTTTGTCCTGCATCAATAGGAGCATAGTGTCTGGATCCAGGGAAGTCATGCTCCACATGCTCTATTCTGCTTTGGTTAGACCACACCTGGAATATTGTGTCCAATTCTGGGCACCACAATTCAAGAGAGATATTCACAAGTTGGAATGTGTCCAGAGGAGGGCGACTAAAATGATCAAAGGTCTGGAGAACAAGCCCTATGAGGAGCGGCTTAAGGAGCTGGGCATGTTTATCCTGAAGAAGAGAAGGCTGAGAGGAGATATGATAGCCATGTATAAATATGTGAGAGGAAGCCACAGGGAGGAGGGAGCAAGCTTGTTTTCTGCTTCCCTGGAGACTAGGACGCAAAACAATGGCTTCAAACTACAAGAGAGGAGATGCCACCTGAACATGAGGAAGAACTTCCTGACTGTGAGAGCTGTTCATCAGTGGAACTCTCTGCCCCGGAGTGTGGTGTAGGCTCCTTCTTTGAAGGCTTTTAAACAGAGGCTGGATGGCCATCTGTCAGGGGTGATTTGAATGCAATATTCCTGCTTCTTGGCAGAATGGGGTTGGACTGGATGGCCCATGAGGTCTCCTCCAACTCTATGATTCTATGAAGGGTCACAAAAAGTTGGTGCCTCATGAAACTGCAACTCCAACGATTCCATCGCATTGAGCCATATCATTCAAAGTGGCATCAAAATACATTTATTCTACAACGTAGAAGACTTCTACATCATACTATAACTGTTGGGCTTTTCAGATCTGAAACGTGGGGTTGCATTACTTTCTTTCAACCGAATGGGGGCACATTTCCCCATCGCTTTCCTCCTCTTTGCTAGGACAGTGTTTAGAGCTGGTATTAATTTGAGAAATCACCCCTAGAAGAAATACATCTGGCGCAAACTGAAATCTAGATTTTGCATTCCAAACATCCAGTTTTGAGTCCTGACAATATTGCAGAGTGGAAGGTAGAGGAAGCCTCTCTCTCTCTTTGGACTTCAATACGATCTAAAACAATCAGATACGAAGATGTGTAATTTCCCCAGCAATGCTGGCAGGGTCTAAATTTAGAAGTCTCTTTTAAGGAGCGAGCGTGTTTCATTTGTCGCAAGACACATCTAAACAATCGGTTCCCTGTTACAGCTTGTTCTCGTTGAAGCCAAATTACACATTACACTGAGTTCCATATAACTTTTCCCAAACCAATTTTTTTAATGCAAAGCAGCTGTCGGGATGAGAGACGGAGGCCGAGTTAACCCTTCGCCAAGCAAATGTTCTTTCTTGCTCTTGGGTGCGTCTGCACTCTCAAAACAATGCAGTTTGACACCACTTGAACTACCAAGGCTCAATGCTATGGAATCATAGAATCATAGAATCAAAGAGTTGGAAGAGACCTCATGGGCCATCCAGTCCAACCCCATTCTGCCAAGAAGCAAGAATATTGCATTCAAATCACCCCTGACAGATAGCCATCCAGCCCCTGTTTAAAAGCCTGGGAGTTGTTTTTTGGTGACGTCTTTTGCCTTCTCTGGCAAAGAGAGTTGGTGCGTCGCCAAACTACAAATCTCA